ATATATATATATATATGTATATATATATATAACGTATATATATATATATATATATGTATATATATATACACGTGTATATATATAAATATATATATATATATATATACATATATATATTTATTTATATATATATATATACATATATACGTGCTTTTATGAATGTAACATGTACATATATACATACATGTGATTGTTTGAGTACGATGCATCTGCCCGTGTAGGGCATCTAGGGAGGGTGGTTTGATTTCGGCTGCTTGGCGATGTGGATATATATTGCCTTATACTTTCACCTGGTCCGTGGTTCACTTGCTCGCAGTATTCATTTTCCTTCACATTGACACTTATTTTCGCTGCTTTGTATGGCACAGGCGTGTCGCTTGCTCAGCAAGAATCACGCGGACAAAGTGTTGATAGTGAACACCAGTGCTGATGATTTGCCTGCCTTGTTGAAGGATGATCTTGTGAATGGGATGGTTATCAACAGCTCTGGCAATGCTAGTATTGAATCTTGTAAGTTTTGTGGGCAATACCCGTTGGTATAGAACATTTATACTGGTCTGTGTATGACCCATCTTCCACTTTGAAGAGATATTTTTAGCGCCTCCGTTTGTAGGTAGTATATGCTTAGAGGATTATCAGCCGTTGAGGGCTTCATGGAGAGCATGCGGCTATAACATGTTAGTTACGGTGAGCTCTACTGTAGAATATGTAGTGTTTTATTAGGTTACACGCCAGTTGTGCCGTTTTGTATATATCCTTCTTGCCGACACATTTGAATCAAAATATCACTCCTGACGGGGAGAGGCATGGGTTGAGGCCACGAAGCAGTTAGTTTAAAGTAGGAGTCGATACGAATTAACGCCTTATAATACACAACACAAAGTAGCTGGACAATACAGCACAATACAATAGTGATGTTAGCTGCATGGCATAGTCCAGGTGACAACAAACCAGACCAAGGGCTGCAAAATATTTCAAATACATACATGTTAATCAATTGTGTGCACATGAACAACCTCACTATAGCACACGTTCGCAACATAAAATTCATCACAACCGTATAAAGCCATGTCTAAAACTTTCTTCGTTTTCGCTCTCTACAGACACCTCATACCACGCGCCTTCCTTGGATGTTGTGCTGTCTGTGTGCAGAAGTGCACAGAGTTGGCTGTCGGCCGGGGATGCGGGACAAGTGGTGGTGCTTCATTGCACCTTAGGCCACACGGCACTGATTGTGGCATGCTTGTTGTTATACCTTAGAGTGTGGGACCCCGAGTCACCCTCGGACGGTACGTATGTGTACACAGCTAGTACTGTACCGAACTGCAATGAATTGATATGCCTGTGCATGTATCAGCGCACATATGTTCGTATGTATTGAACGAATAGATAGGGGACAAGTGTTTGTGTTGCGCTTTCAGCTTTCACCTGGGGGTGTGCAGTGCCGTTTGCGACGTGCTAGCTACAGCATCATCTAGTGCAGGACCTGGAGAGTCTCTCAGAGTGGGAGTGCGCAGATGTACTAGTGTATGACATTGAGTGCTGTTACAAGATGGGTGTACGCTTGTTTGAGTCTTCACCAGT